CAAGTTGATATTGTTTAAATAATACACTCTATTTTATTTTGTCTTAAAATAGTTTAACCTTTATGCTACAGACTTGTTTCAAAAAACAGAAGGTCTCATCTTGCACCAAAAATATATATATTTTTATATATATATAACACTCTGTTTTATTATTATTTTTTTCTCCAAAGACCATTAAATACTAGATGGAAAATGAGAACTAAATAATGAGTGTCGAGAAGAATCAAATTTTTTAACTAGAGTCGCACGTTTTAAACATTTATATTCTACGTAATGATTTGTCTTCACTACAGAAGATTCCAAGTTCACACTCCAGCAATTCAGGAAAACTGCTAAAACCATGAAGGGCTCGAGCCAATGCTCGCTGACGTGGGTGGAAAGCCCCGCACCAGCTGCAGTGGGTTCTGGATCAGGCCCCAAGTGCATCGGTTCTCGGCCACACAACGGTTAGCACTTCTCTTCCCTGCTGAGAAGAGCAAAACCGTCCAGGCACCTTTTGCTCTCTTTAAAAAACAAAAAAAACCAAAAAAAAAACCAAAAAAAAAAAAAAAGAAGAAAGAAAATGAAAGAAAACCACTTCCTAGCTATCCAGTGATGCGGTTTTCAGGTCATTACCCTTGCAAATTTGTGAAGAATGAAGAGAAAATATGTAGTGTTTTAAATAAAAGAAAACCTGCATCGGACTACAATACATGAATCGTTTAAACAAACACAGTGCACAATTGGAGGAAGTTTGGTTAGGACACGGTTGTTTTTATATATACATGGAAGTCACATCATATACAAACTGAGAAACAAGAGCGTTAGTTTGCGTTTTCCACGGAAGGACTACAAATGGGTCCCTGCAGCTTTCTTCAAAACCGATCTTTAGAAGACTCTGTGAAACAGGAAAAAGCAGCCACACCAAATCACTGTTCCGAAGTCACCTTGACAGCGTGCGTGCCAGCCCACTACGACGACGGCTGAGTTGTGTGATTAAAAAAAGAGGAGGAACTAGAAGCACCACATACATTTTTCTGGCCATGCAATACACTTAGGTTCAAAGTTTTAGAAAGCTTGACGTTGGAGTATCAGTCCCTTACCTAGCTGTTCTTTAAAGTGCAGCCATAACCGTTCTGCTCGTTACAGAAAAAGCTGTTTGCTACTAACTATACCACCGTTGCTGGTTTGGGTTTTTTTTAACTTTATGTTATGTGGCAGCGTAGGTAATTTTATATATTTTGCCCACAGATAAAATTATTGGAGGCCAAATATATTTAGAAACCAGCCAACACAAAAAGAAAGCCGAACTTCCCATGTCCTGACTAATCCCCCTGTTCAGCCTTAAATGGCAAAAGAACTGATGATAGAGCTGTACAAAACTCCCGCTAGAAACGTTTTGATTACAAAGGAACATTTTAATTGCACAATAGACATTTAAAGTGAATATCATCTTGTTAGTCTAATCTTTGGTTTTTGCCTTGAGAAAGGCTCAAAATGACAGATGAGGGGCAGGAATCTCCATCTACACTACAGAAACTACAGCCTGCTAAAGTAAGTACCACCCAATTTGGTAAATGTTCTGGTAGAAAGTGTTTTCCTGGATCATACCCTAAAAACAATTCCAAAACCAGGATAAGAGACATGACCAAAAGCCAGGAAAACTGTGCAGATCTAGTTTAAAGAAAAAAAACCAAACCCAAGAAGATCACCACCTTAAGCCCCAATCCAGCAACCTCTTTTAGGACAGAGTTTTAAGCGCTGGAATGGCCCCATGAGTTTTGGCAAACTGTCCAAGCCGAATGCTGTGCATCTGCTAAAGTGCTTTGCCAGACTGGGGCTTTGCCAGTTTGTTTGGGTTCTTTTGAGATGGCCAATGAAGCAAATAAGCAATAGTAGAAATGAGGACTACAAGCAAAATCTTCCGTTTCTCTCCTTCTCCTACTCCAGGCAAGACAGGGATACAAGTAAAAAAGTTCAGCTATATTTAAAAAGGAGAGGGGTGCTGGGCCTTTTTATTACTTTTCTTTTTCTTGTGCTTTTGCAATAATCAGCTGCTAGTAAGTCGCTACTATTACTATTTTAAACCGTAACAAGCTGTGGGAAATGATCAGTGAAACACAGTAGTCAAGTAGACAGAAGACTCAGCACTGAAATGAGTGTAAACTATAAATTATATTGAAAATAAAAATCCTTTACTTAAAAGCTGTTCAGTGCATATGTTATGGGCCATTTGTTATAAAGACAAGTCCCTCCTGCTGGTAACATAACCAAATCAGCCTGGGTATATATACTCTTGGCCCAATTTTTTGGAAGTGTTGAATACCCCCAGTTCCACTGAAATCAGTGAGGACACAGCATTTCTCAAAATCACTGATGCTCACACAGCAAAACACTAACTTCTACTAACAAACTCAGTATACTGATAAATTAAAAACGTTCTGAAGTCAGAGGTGGGAAAGGGTGGGAGGACACGAGTTTGCACACAGTTATTTCTTCAGATTAACACACGCACGTTAGTAACTGTAGATGTGTTTTAAATTTGGAGCTATTGGCTTTTAATTCAGGGAGGAATCCTCCTTCGAGAAGGCAAAAACATTTTAAGTGATACTGAAATTATACTACATTCTTATGCAAATGAAGAACTTCATGAGTGTGAATTTCGTAACGCCAGGATCAGGGCTTCTGAAGCTGAAGCTTTAACAATGAACTTCTGTGCCACAAAGGGGAAGAAGGGGTGGGGACACAAACACAGTGACACTGCATTACAGTAGATATTTGCGTCGGGTATCCTCATCCAAAGTGAGGTCTACTACTTCTGGGGGCGAAGACCAATTCTGCTGGGGGGTCACAGCTGTCCATGATTGCGTTTGCTGAGTGTTCATGTACTGTGAGCCTGAGCCGTGCTTCCAGGAAGACACACTCTGAATCACACCTCCCCTGGGGTGCACACACCTGGAGCAAGGCAAAAAACACAACGGGTTAAAGCTGCTGTTGGGAATGCAGGCACAAGGCATCTTGTTAACGTGTCCCTCTCCAACATGTCCATGTGGGTTTTCCCTTTGTAGAGTCCACGACATCTTAAATACCCAGTAAGCAAAGCTGAGACTAAACTTAAATTTAAACTCCGGAGTGCTGGTGGGGATTAAATTATTTTTAAGACCTGAATCCCACCAGTGGGTGTAGTGATATTCCTTACAAAATATGGGCATGGGTCCTGAGGACCTCGCAGAAGTCTGCCCCATCACATGCAGCACCACGTCTGACTCAGAAGCACAGTTCCCTGCTGGCAGTTTTACCCACTGGACTTTTAAAAAGCGAAAAATTTTAAGCAAGGCTTGAAGAGACAAAGAGAAAAGCTATCTTTCTATGTGAAATCAAAACCATGTTAAAATAAGGACGTAATGATACTTCCATTACAACAATTACAAGAGAGGTCTTTTAATTACATTATTACAGCCATTACACTTGATTTTTCTTTGGCCTTCTTCACTAAGAATTACAAATGTGCTGGGAAATGCTCACTGGTAACCGTAGAGCCCCACTTCAGCAGAACATTTAAGCTCTCAGTGATTACAGTCAATGAGATTAAAGCATGTATTTAAAGATAAGCACACACTCAAGTGGCTTAAGTGCTGAAGTGAGGAACACAGCTAATTATTTGCACGGTGTTTTTACCTATTATATTAATAATAGGTATGTGACAATTTAACTACAAGCTCATAATAATTAGAAAAAATACCAAAATGAAAGACAGACTGATACTTTATATGAGGAAGTGATCACAATACTTTACTGGAGACTTTAAAATGATCACTCCACTCCCAGCTATAAATCTTAAACAAGTGCCAGTAAAACTTTATACCTAGTGCTCCAAAAATTGTTTGCTCTTGTAAGCACTGGTGGTGGCTGTAGCTGCTCCTGGCTGCGTACTTAAGCAGGAGATGTTTGGCTGCTGGGGTAACCTTTTCCTGTCTCTTTGTGAAGGCACGTGTGCTGTACATTTCAGGAACCCAGGCTTTCTGCACTGGTCAGATCACAGAATCATTGAATGGTTTGGGTTGGAAGGGACCTCTGAAGGCCATCTAGACCAATCCCCCTGCAATGAGCAGGGACATCTTCAATCCCATCAGGTTGCTCAGAGCCCCATCCAACCTGACCTGGAATGTTCCCAGGGATGGGGCATCCACCACCTCGCTGGGCAACCTGTCCCAGTGTTTCACCACCCTCATGGTAAACAATTTCTTCCTTCTCTCCAGTCTGAATCTGCCCTCCTTCAGTTTCAAACCATCACCCCTTGTCCTATCCCTACAGGCCCTACTAAAAAGTCCGTCCCCATCTTTCTTCTAAGCTCCATTTAAGCACTGAAAGGCCGCAGTCAGGTCTGCCCAGAGCCTTCTCCTCTCCAGGCTGAACAACCCCAATTCTCTCAGCCTGTCTTCCCAGCAGAGCTGTTCCAGCCCTCTGACCATGGTTGTGGCCTCCTCTGGCCCTGCTCCAACAGGTCCAGGTCTGTCCTGTGCTGAGGATTCCAGAGCTGGACACAGGGCTCCAGGTGAGGTCTCCCCAGAGCAGAGCAGAGGGGCAGAATCACCTCACTCGCCCAGCTGGCCACACTTCTCTTGATGCAGCCCAGGGTAGGGTTGGCTTCTGGGCTGCCAGCACCCATTGCCAGCTCATGTCCAGCTTTTCATCCACCAGCACCCCCAAGTCCCTCTCAGCAGGGCTGCTCTCCATCCCTTCATCCCATCAAATCCGTATCTCTCCAATTTAGAGAGAAGGATGTTGTGGGGGACCATGCCAAAGGCCTTACGGAAGTCCAGATAGATGACATCTGTAGCTCTTCCCTTCTGCACTGATGTAGTCACTCCATCACAGAAGGCCATTAGGTTGGTCAGGTGGGACTTGCCCTTGGTGAAGCCATGCTGGCTGTCTCGAATCACCTTCCTGGCCTCCATGTACCCTAGCATAGCTTCTAGGAGGATCTGTTCCATGACTTTCCCAGGTACAGAGGTGAGGCTGACAGGTCAGTAGTTCCCAGCATCCTCCTTTCTATCCTTTTTAATAATGGGTACAATGTCAGGTGATCACGAACCTGATCTTCTCTTACAGTGGGAGGGACTTTGCACCCCCAGTCCCTGCTTTGTGGTCCATCTGCTTAGGAGGTGTGGGAAGAGAGGCTGACGGTGAAGACTGAGGCAAAGACATTTTGAGTACCTCATCTCCTCATCTGTTGTTACCAGTTTGCCAGTCTTGATCATCGGGGAAGGGGTACGCTTTCTTTGGCCTTCCTTTTCTGGCTGACATACCTGCAGAGGCCCTTCTTAATTATTCTTGCGTCTCTGCCAAGTTCAGCTCTCTCTATGCCTTGGCCATCCTGACCCCATCCCTACATAACCAGGCAGCATCCCTATACTTTTCCCAGGATCCCTGTCCCTGCTTCCACTGCCTGTGCAGTTCGTTCTAGTTTGACCAACATCTCTCTACTCAGCTGTGCTGGTCTCTTCCCTTCTTTGCTTGACTTCTTACGCCTCAGGATCGAGAGCTCCTTGAAGAGGTGGAATTTGGCTTTCCTAAAATTCAGGGTCCTGACTTTACTCTTCACCTGACCAATCTCCCTCAGGACTGCAGATTCCACCAGTGCATGATCACTGCAGCCCAGGCTGCCTCCAATCTTGACGTCCCTGATTAGCTCACTCGCATTGGTGACCAGCAGGTCCAGTATCGCATCCCCTGTGGTAGGGCTTCCTTAAGAAGTTATCCTTGGTACTCTCCAGGAGTCTCCTGGATTGCCTACAGCTCACCGTGCTACTTTTCCAGCTATGTTGGGGAGGTTGAAGTCCCCCAGCAGGACGACAGCCTACAAGTGTGATGCCTCCTGGAGCTGGAGCAAGAAGGCTTTGTCGACAGGCTCCCCTTGATCAGGTGGCCTGCAGTAGACACCAACCACAAGGTTCCCTCTGCTGCCTCTGTCTCTGATTCTTACCCATAAGCTTTCAACCTGCTCATGGCAATACTTCAGAGACAGCTCTACCCATTTCTTGATGTAGAGGGCACCCCTCCACCCCTCCTTCCTTGCCTGTCCCTTCTGAACAGCCTGTAGCCATCAGTAGCCGCACTCCAGTCATGGGATTCATCCCACCGAGTTTCAGTAATGGCATCTAGGTTGTAGCTTTCTAGCAGCATGGTGGCTTCCAGCTCCTCCTATTTGTTGCCCATGCTGCATGCATTGGTGTAGAGGCACTTCAGCTGAGCTGTTGGCCATGTCACCTTCTTAGAGGAATACTCCTGAATTCCTTTGAGGTATTTCCCTGGTGTTTCCCTGTTGGCTCCTATTATGTCATGAGCCCCTGGCTCATCTCAGTAAGACTTCAAGTGTGTTCCAGTGTACCCAGCACGTCTCAGAGCAATGGGTTGAAGGCTCTCGCTAGCACCCTCTCCCTCTAACCTTGGCATGTCATTCCACAGGTTGTCACAGGCAAGACTGATACTATCCTCCTCCCCCTCCGAGTCTAGTTTACAGCTCTGTCAATGAGCCCCTCTAGCTCATGAGAAAAGACCCTCTTCCTCCTTTGAGAAAGGCGAATCCCATCTGACTTCAACAAGCCTGGTGCTGTGTAGGTCATCCCATGGTCAAAAACCGCAAAACTGTGGTGGTGACACCATAGAGCCATGCATCTGTTTCTTCCAATGTCGCTGCCCGTCACTGGAAGGAGAGTGGAAAAAAAATAACCTTCTCCAGATCCCCTTGCCAACCATCCTGAGGCCCTGAAGTCTCTTTTGATCGCCCTTGGAACACATGTTGTGGCTTCATTGCCACCCACGTGGAAGAGCAGTAACAGGTAATAGTCCAAAGGCTGCACCAGGCTAGGAAGCTTCCTAGTGACATGCCTGACGTTTACATTTTATTTGTTTTAATTTAAGGTAGTGCAATTTATTTTCTCCAGAACTACTTAGGTTATGCCCATCTCTCTTGGCTCTGGTTAGTTTCATGAAATTGAATGAAAAATCTCATCCTCCGAACTTGAACTTCTCTGAATATAAATGTCTCATTTCCTTCTCAGATATGCTACTTAGTTTTGGATGTGATGTTCAGAATGACGTTTTTGTTACTTCTACAGTCTTAAAAATAGATACTTAAAGTACGTATCTACAAAGAATTAGTAATAAGAAACCGGACCTCTTAACAAATGTAGGGCTTTTTTTTTTAAAAAAAAGAGCACTTTTTTAAATAAGAAATATTTTTAAGCATAACTGACAAGACAGGCTGGTAGCCAAAGCAAACTAAATGCGATGTTAGGTCTTAGGGACTATGGTGCATCATTCTCATACACAACGGTCCTCAATGCTTAGGCAAAGCTAATAGTAACTTTTCTCCCTGAAGATGCCAAAAAGCAAGCTATAAATTATCTCACAGAAATGATACCTTGCAAAAATAAAAGTGTTTATCCTCAAACGAGTCATACAAGCAGCCGATAGCAAAATGTTCAATCAGGCATTAGCTTACAGAACATGCTTTTCAATCTGTAGCTAAGGGGAAAGATACCAAGTAACGGCAACCAAAAAAAAGAAAAAAATCTCAAAAAAACAGAGGAAGACTGTTTTATACACATGCACGATAAAAAAAAAGTCTGTTGGACAAGAATTAGAAAAACTGAAACGCATGATTTGATCTCCTAAGTATATGCCTAGTAATATTCCAATGATGAGAAATACCACCAGTTTGCTAGCAAACTGAAAACCTACAAATGATGAACAAACTCTAGGGTGTCACAACTCACACCAGTTCAATGAGGACATGGAATATGCAGCACAATAAAAAACTGTGTCAGCAAAAGAACTGAATCCAAACACCATACTAAGCATGCAAGAAATACTGCTCAAAAAGCTAAGCCTTTTCCAAATGACAGCTGTCAGAAGCCCATCAATACCTCATAACTGCAAGCCTAGACCTGCAAGAGAAATGCAATTCTAAATAGGATTTGAACAACTGAAATGTGTGAGTATTCAACGGAGCCAGTGAGAACTAGTCTTCAGGAGATGGCAGATGAACTGATTTTAAACAGCAACTCTGCATTTACTTAACATTTCCATTCTCGTACATGGTAAATATTATGGAGGCAAGCAGCATGGAAACGTCTTGAACAGGGGACCTCAAGCAGAAGGGTTGTGTGTACACAGTGCTAGACAGATTTACATGAACTAGTAGTCAAGGACAGGTCCACACTGCTTAACATTAGGACGAAGATTCTGTAAGCCCTGGGTCTGCTGGATAAACAGCCAGGAGAGCTACTTCCTCAGGAATTAGTATCTTCCCAAAGAGTTATCCATGCAAGGACTTTCACTATTCTAAAAGTGAAGAGCAAATCTCTCTTCCTTCAGCACCTTACAATTTCCTGTTTTCCTGCCCGTGAAACTGGGCCCTGTACACCTTCCTTCTTCTTTTCCTCAGGTAAGATGCAGTGAAGGGACAACGAGGAGCAGCTCTGTTCCTTGTCCCTCACACACCTTTACCACCTCCAAGCATCCACCAGGCAGCAGACTAATTTCAGAAAAAGCTTGTCTGCACACTGTTTTAACTTGCTGTTATTCCACCAGATTAACCCTCCATACTATATGAAAAAGCCAGTGTTGTTCAACTGCTTTGTAATACTTTAAGCCAAGGAGAGATCATAGGCTAAAGATGAAGAGGAACATCAAAAAAATGCCTATCAAGAATTACAGCTGAAGCACAGCTGGACAGCTTTCTATCTGAGTTTCAGAGAAACCTCTGGCTTCCTTACCCTCATCTGCTTTGGGGATTTGAACTCTCTTGTATCTTGAAATAAAAACAAGGATCCAACTTCTAATCTAAAGGGCCTATCTTATGACATTAGCCATCAAAATGTTGATAGTATTTTTACAACCACTGATTAATTAAACAAACTGGAAGCTGATTAAATACTTAAAGTAAGTGAGTATTTTGAAAGGAAACAAGAGCCCACATAAATATTTTTGTTTATGTATTTGTATATTCACGCTACGCCCTTAAAATCTGAATTC